ATATGTCGTTTCGCCAGTGTGTTGTCACTGAATTTCTTGTGAAAGAGGAAATCCCTGCTGCAGAAATTCACCAGAGACTTCAGCATGCTTATGGAAGTGTGTGCATGGGTGTGAGCAGTGTTCGAAGATGGGTGAAACATTTTAAAGATGGGAACACCAGCATTGAAGATGAGCCTCGGAGTGGTCGTCCTTGAACAGCCTCAACTAAACGAAACAAGGAAAGAGTGGATGAGATCATTCAAGATGACAGACATGTGACTGTGGACACAATAGCCCGAAAACTTGGAATAGGGCACAGTGCAGTACAGGAGATGATTGAAAGCTTGGGCTATAGGAAAGTTTTTGCTTGTTGGGTCCTGCAGTTATTGACCAAAGACCACAAAGGTCAGTGAAAAGCCATCACCTCAGAACTGCTGCAGAGATATTGACACGAAGGTGATGATTTTTTGCTCTGTATTGTGACAGGTGACGAAAGTTGGTTTCACAATTTCGAGCGTGAAACGAAACGGCAGAGTATGGAATGGCACCATTTCCATTCTCCATCAAAAAAAGAAGGCAAAGACAGTGCCATCAGCTGCGAAGGTGACGGGCACAGCCTTCTGGGATGCAGAGAGGTTTATTCTGGCCAAATTCCTGGAACCTGGGCAAACCATCAATGCTGCTCGTTATGCCCAGACACTGCACAAGCTCCGTCGTGCATTGCACGATAAACGTCCTGGACAAAATATCATCCTGCATGACAGCGTTAGCCCCCACGCTGCTCACCTCACATTGGAAGCAATTGCAAAGATGGGCTGGGAAGTTTTTCCACACCCCTCCTATAGCCCTGATCTGGCACCCTCCAACTACCATCTTTTTGCATTTGCGAAGGATCAGCTACATAGACAACATTTTGAGACAAGGGAGGCAATTCAGAAAGCAGTGTATCAGTGCCTTCGGATGGCTGGAACGGAATTTTACAGAAGGGGAATTTTCAAACTCCCAGAACACTGGGAGAAATCTGTATAAAGAAGTGGCGATTATGTGAAAAAATAAAGAAAGGTCTGTAGATTGAGGTGGTGTATTTGGTTTGTCAATAA